CAAAAGTTTTAAAAATACAAAATGTTTAAAGGTTATAAAGAAAGATTAATTGATGTGTAAATTTACAACTTACATATTTATGTCCACAAATTCAAGTGAGAAAATGAGAGTTGAAAATTATTTCAAGAGGAATGGGTATTGGGGTGAGGGGGTGAGGATGTGAGGCAATGGGCTCTGAATGGGAAAAGGGAGAAAAGTTGGAGATCAGAATATTTCAGGTTATATATTTTTTTCTCATCTTCATCCAAAGGCATTCAATTGGATGTTCATGTCTGATCTTGAATTTTCATTAAAAGAGCCCTCAGGTGTTCTCTCCCTTTCCTCCCTCCAGCTCTTTGGACATGAATTCCTTATTGTAGCCACATCTGAGATTTCCTAGATGAAATCAGCAGCTATAGATATGACTCCAGACTTGCAAAAAAAAAAAATCAGCCCACTGTTGCCAGAAAAAGCCTAAGTGTGCATTGCTTCTTTGCATCTGGCTCTAACAAAAACACCCTTTCCCTGTTTAGAATTAAAAGTAAATGTAGTGGAAAGAACATTGGGCTAGAACAGGGAAGGCTGGGGTTCTAGTCCCCAACCTGTCAGTCAGCGCAAAATGATTTCATTTCTCTCAGGCCTTGGCATCCTTATCCATAAAATCAGGGACATCAAACCAAATTACCACGTCCACCTTAAAAATCCTATTCTAAAAATACTGTGCACTTCTTATTTCCATCTAGCCTTTTCCTAAAACCTTATTTGGCAATATCCTATTAAAACTTTGTGATTTTGTGGTGCAATCAGGAGCCACACCTGGATTCCACCATCTACCTAATTCTCACTGTGCAGGCAGAACCTTACCCGCCTTACTCAGAAATGAAATTTGCTGTGGGGCCCCTCAATTCTTTGCTGCTTTGGAAGTTCAATCTACCAGTGTTCCTGTGTGAGACTGCACAGTCTGGCTTTATTCTTAAGTCTGAAACATACATTAGTGTGACCTGAACTGACACAGCGTCTCTTCTGACACATTGCATTGGTCAAAGCAAGTCAAAGTCCAGTCTAGGTTCCGGAGGAGGGCAGAAGGCCTCTATCATTGGCGACAGGAACAGCGTGCCTGCGCGGTGAGGAAGGAATTGATGGCCACCATGTTTGGAGATTGTCTACCATAATCTCCCTGTTGATACATCTCTTGCTTTATTCTCTCTTTATTCTTCATGGCTTTATGTGGCACAGGAACACAGGCAGGCAGGAATTCGTTCCATGGCCTTAAACATCAAATATTTTACTGCAACCTGCAGGTGCTTTGGAAGGCATTGCTGTCTCTGCTGGACTGTAGGGTTGGATACTTTACTCTAAGTCTTCAATGATTGTGTAGGGGGTGCAATCATGGTTTGCATGAAGGAGCACTTGCTATGGGCCAGACCCTGTGCTTATGCCTTTTCCATGGGTCTGTCATTCGGGGCCTGTGCATAGCATTTCAGTGTCAGTTTCTGAATTGGTTTGGGTAATAAAAATACAGCATGGCAATGCTGGTACCAAAGATTCAAAAATGCTACCCACTCTCAAGATCCCTTCACAGAAGCACTTACTTCGCTGGATACCTACTGTCCGTTCTTTTTCCTCCCCCACTTCTGCAACCCCTTTTGTAAATTTTGTATTTTATTAATTATATATTTGCCTCACTCTGGTTCCTTTCTGCCCCCAGGCCCACCATTTTCCTGCAATTGATGCAAATTAGGAGGGACCTAGTGGGAGGTCAGGGAACAGAGGTGTCCAAATAGAGCTGAGTTTGTTCTCTGTGTGGAGGGAAGTTTTCCACAACCACCCACAGCCGATGCCCTTCACACCCTCAGGTCAGATCATCGGGGAGCATGTGTGATACCTGCTTCTATACTATGCCCACAGTGTACATTTAGTTAGGGGCTTGGGGTGATGACTATTATAATATTCATTTATGCAGGGATGTCAGCAAACCCAGGGCAGAGCACTCACTGAAAAATCCTACTGAGGTAGCTTATAACACTTTTTTTTATCGTGTCTAAAATGCATTTATGTATCTCTCACAGTTCTGTTGATATACTAGAGGCCTCGTGCATGAAATTCATGCAAGGGTTGAGTCTCTAGGCCTGACCAATCAGTGCCAATCAGGTTCCCCGCCTCCCCCTCCTCCTTCCCTCACCACCTGCATCTACCATCACCTACTCCTGGTTTCCCATCCCAGCCTGGGGCCCAGCCCCAAGCAGGCAATTGGGGCCTGCCAGCTGATGGGGGGGAGAAAGAGGAGGGTAGGGGGGTAGGGACCAGCAGGGTGGCCAGCAGGCCCCATCACAATCAGGGCCTACAGGCTGGGGGCAGCTCCTGCATTGAGCATCTAACCCCTGGTGGTCAGTGTGTGTCATAGTGACTGGTAGTTCCATCATAATGGTCGCTTAGGCTTAGATAGATAGATGATAGGTAGATAGATAGATAGATAGATAGATAGATAGATAGATAGATAGATAGATAGATAATTTACATGCCAGAGAGTTCACCCACTTAAAGTGTTCAGTTCAATGGTTTTTAGCACACTCACAGAATTTTGAGCCATCCCCTTAAATCTAATTTTAGAACATTTTTATCACCCCCAAAAGAAACTTTGTCCCCATAGCATCCATTCCCTGTTCTATATCCATTCCCTAGCCACTAATCTACTTTCTTTCTCCATAGATTTGCCTATTTTGGATATTTCATATAAATGGAATTCTACAGTGTCGCCTTTGGTGAAAAGCTTCTTTCACTTAGCTTCACTTCCAAGTTACCATTTCTTTGGTATATTTTTTCCAGGATCCTAAACACTTCAAGTCAGAGAAGACAGGACGGGGACAGTTACGGGAAGGCTGGAGAGATAATCATCAGCCCATCATGTGTTCCTACAAGCTGGTGACTGTGAAGTTTGAGGTCTGGGGGCTCCAGACCAGAGTGGAACAATTTGTACACAAGGTAAGCGAACAAAGAGCAGTTCCTCAGCCTCGGAGCATGTACCTGTCTTTATGGTAAGCTGGAGTGAGTGATATACCACAGATGCACAGGTGCTGAGCCAACACCAGGTAACTGCATCTAGGCATTTTACATTCAGGTTTTTTTCTTCCACTAATAGATCTTTTACAACATCTCCTATCTTATACCTCCATATCTATTGTGTGAGTGTATTTAGGAAGTTGGACTTTCAAAACACTTATCCTATATGGAAGCAACCCAAGTGCCTATCAGTAGACAAGTGGATAAAAATGCTATGGTACCTACATAAACAGTGGAATATTACTTAGCCATAAAAAAGAATGAAATCTTACATTTGCAACAGCATGGATGGACTTAGAGGGTATGGAGCTAAACAAAATAAGCCAGACAGAGAAAGACAAACACCATATGATTTCATTCATATGTGGAATCTAAAGAATAAAATAAACGAACAAAATAGAAACAGACTTAGAGACACAGAGATCAGAAGGGTGGGTAGGGCTGGGTGAAAGGGATTAAGAAGTACAAATTGGTAGTTAACAAAATAGTCATGGGGAAGTGAAGTACAGCCTGGGGAGTATAGCAACAATAGTGTAATAACTGTATGGTGCCAAGTGAGTACTGAAAGTATCAGGGGGAACACTTTGTAAAGCTTATGATTGTCTAACCACTATGCTGTCTACCTGAAACTAGTACAAAATAATGCTGAATGCAAACTGTAATTGAAAAATTTTAATTAAAAAAACTGTTAAAAACATCACATACTTCTCCTTTTGGCATTGGGCTAATCAGGTTCCAAGCACAGGTACTTATACTTGGTACTTGGGTTGCAGGCAGAGGCACAGGGCTTATCTGCATGTGCATTCCCTGAGGATAATTCTCACTCTAAAGGTCCTGCAAATGTAGACCCTGAGGCACCGTCTGAGTGTAGAAGAAACCTCAAGAGACAGAGCAAGAAATCCCAGTAGTCCCATTAGGTGGTGCACTGCAGAATTTCTCCTCATAGAATTCTGTCAACCAAGAATTATGAACAATCTCAAAATACAGATTTCAATTCTATACCCACCTTGGCTAAGCTCATTAATTTTGTAGCAGGAATTCCCTTGGTAATGATTTAGGTTTTTTAGAGGTTTCTAACATGACCCCTGTCCTCAGGGCGAAAGAAAAAGAAAGAAAGAAAATGTGGTGTTGAACACTGCCCTTTATAATTCCTTCCATCTCCATAAAAATAAATACTACCCACGTTATCTCTACCTTCCAGATAGGCTGAGTCTCTGTTTGTTTATCCTCATAAAAATTGATAACAATAATTTTTTTTATAAAAAGCTTTCTGGAATTCTTTTGGAGGTGTTGAATTTAAACTTGTGTGCTTAGCTTTTTGTTTCTTAGATGGATTTGTCTACAGGGGACAATTGACAATAAAATAGGGGACCCAATTGACCATAAACATTTGTAAATCTTGAAATTAGGTCCAAGGAATAGACTGACCTTGGGCTCATGATTATCACAGACGCTGGAATAAATTTGAGACAGAGAAGGGTGCCGATTCTACTGAGCCTCAGAACCCATTCTGCCCAACCAGAGGAGGGAGTCGGGCAAGGCACCTAGAAATCCAGTTCTGGGGCTGCCTGTCGTCCTGCGGGGTCCCAGTTAGTGAGCAGGAAGACAGGGCTCCCAGGGTGAAAATCTTCCAGCCTCTGCTCTGTGCCTATCTCAGGCTGTGACTTCCTACAACATCCCCTCACCCCCTTTTCTTCACCACAGCGTTCGTTGTTTCTTTTCTCACAAATGACTTGGGCTAGTTTTGAGACTCTGTTTTTTTAAAAACACCTGTAAGAAGTACACTCTGGCTGGCGTGGGCATCCCCATTGCCCATTTCCAAATGGAATGAGGTGCTACCAACGCCCAGCACACACCTGCTCTGGCACATGAGTCGCTAATGAGTGTCTGAAGCCAGCATTTGCATGGGCGTCTTTCTCTGAACACCTTTGTTTTTTTAAGAATCTTTTCACAGTTAAGGGGAAGAAATGTTTGAAAGCGAGCTATTAGCACATTATTGAGTTCCTGTTTCCAAGCAGACAGCTGTGTTGTGCTTAACGTAATAGGGTCTATTTACTGATGCCTCGATGCTGTTCTTTTGATTTCCATGAATTTGACACACTCAAGTATGTTCAGCTTCACGAACATTTCTTATTTTCATTACATTGCCTCCTTAAGCCTCACCAGCTACCCAGAGGCCTGGCATATTAAACACTTTCTGATAAATACTTCCCTTGTTTCTGCAAATTCACCAAAATTAAAATCCTTCATTTACCGAAACATGCTCAAACCTTCCATGAGAGGTTTTAGATAGTAAGAGGAATGTCAGAAGGAGAGTGTGAGTGTCCAAGAAACTTTCTGAAGAGTATTTATGGGGGACAAAAAAAGAATACCATAAGTTAAAAGCACATAATAGGGCTATTCACACACAAGCTGTGTCTATATTATTTTTCTTTTGTCCTGTTGCCATTATGTGTCACCATCAGAAACAGTTTCATTCTGTTGGTGACACATAATGGCAACAAGACAAGCTTATTATCACTGCCATTATGTTCTGTTCTACTTTGGGTGTCTTATTTCATTTCTTTCAATAATAGTTAACTGCCCTTGCTCTCCCTCCCCGACTCCCGTTCTTATTACATAAAAGTCAAGCCAGAAAGATATTTATGCTTCTTGTATACCACACCTTCAATTATTTGTTTGTTTTATTTTTTTATATATATTTTATTGATTTTTGACAGAGAGGAAGGGAGAGAGATAGAGAGCTAGAAACGTCGATGAGAGAGAAACATCGACCAGCTGCCTCCTGCACATCCCCCACCAGGGATGTGCCCGCAACCAATGTACATGCCCCTAACTGGAATCCAACCTGAGACTTTTCAGTCCGCAGACCGACGCTCTACCACTGAGCCAAACCGGTTTCGGCTGTTTGTTTGTTTGTTTTTTGTTAATCTTCACCGAAGGATATTTTTCCACTGATTTTTAGGGAGAGTGGAAGAGAGGGGGAAGTCTGAGCAAAACACATCTATTGGTTGCCTCCTGCACAAGCCCCAACGAGGGCCAGGACTAGGGAGGAGCCTGCAATCAAGGTATGTGCCCTTGACCGAAATTGAACCAGGGACCCTTTGGTCTGCAGGCCCACACTCTACCCACTGAGCCAAACCGGCGGGGGCGCTTCAATTATTTAAAGAAAATGAACCAATATTTAAGATATTTCATCAGAGAAGAATGTTGAGTGCTCTTTATTAAGAAGTGACCCAGAAAAACTCTTGATTTCTAGCATGTCTGACTGCTTGGCACCAGTGAGACACACCCTCTACAAATGTTTTAGGTAAAAGTAAACAAAGAGAAAAATCTCAAGGTGATTAGCCTGGAGATTCATTCCAGTCATTGTCGTATGACTGCCTAGTCGTTCCCATTGGTTTGTACACACCTCCAGCCTGACTTCCAAGCAAGACAGACATTAATTTACACCCAGGACAGCCCGCCATGGAAAGGGCTGAGGGTGAGCAAGTACAACACCTGTGCATGTCTCCTGTCATTGTCCTGCCATATGAACAGAGCTATGGAGACATTTATAATGCCAGGATCCCTGAAACTGGGAGTGACCTATTTTCCAGGTGATTTTAATCAAACATGGTATTATTTCAACCTTCTTCTTTTACTTTTTTAGGTGGTCCGAGATATTCTGCTGATTGGACATAGACAGGCTTTTGCATGGGTTGATGAATGGTATGGTAAGTCAACTTTTTCGAAATAACTTATAGGACGATTTCATAACACATTGACTTGGGATTTTAGTCCATCTGGCTTTAAATGCTACCTAGAAAGACATCAACAAAGGCAGGGCTACTGCCTCCTGTATTGGAAAATAGCACTGTTCACGGAACATAATGAGGAAAAATGTAATGCTAGAAGCTTGATCTAAAATAACAATTGTACTTAGCTGTTGAGGAAGTGGGACCTCAGTCAGTATGTTTGATGCTTGCTTTCTTAACTTGCATGTAGGACTCCATAATTCTCTGTGGGGTGAGTTTCAGTCTCATCCTAATTTATATAGACTTCAAGGTCAAAGCTGTCTCAAGTGTCATACCAAATGAAACTCCTTCGATTCACAGATCACTTGAAACACTCCCTCACACAAAACAAGGATTCGCAAGGGTTCAAGGGCAGAGACTTAGATATCCCCTCAATCCTAAGGCTATTGTTTTGGCCTTTTTTTTTTTTTTTTTTTTTTTTTTTTTTTTTTACATGATTTGGGAAGAGTTTAGCAAGTTCTGCTCGTTAACAGTAAATTATGGATGGAGCACCCTCCCCAGATCCTCTGCACTGTCATTTTACCCACAGAATCCTCCCCAGTCCCAGGACCAGTCATCAGACACTAGTGTCCTTGACTTTAAATAGAAACAAACACACCCAATTGGTGGCTGGGATTAGATCTGATTATTTAATGAGGTGCCCTTCTCCTTGGCCTTATCCTAAGTCACCCTGGATCTGTTCTCAGTGTAAGCTCGGTTGCATTCTGGTGCTTTTCTGTCACTGTTCCACCAGTTCCCTTCCTCTTCACAGCAGAAGGCATCAAACTTAAAGTGAAAGGGGAGGGTGGACTGAATGGACAGAGGCAGGGATCGTCAGTAATGTTGTTTGCTGTTTCTGAGCCACATTTTTTTTAGAAACATGCTTTTGTAGGCCAAGGGCTTTTTATATTTTGCCTTTATTTTTTTTTAATTGTTCCCAGTTCTGCATCTTCTGAAGAACAAATGCATCTTCCTAGAAGAGATTCTTTTGGAAGATCACCTCTCTCTCTCTCTCTCTCTCTCTCTCTCTCTCTCTCTCTCTCTATATATATATATATATATATATATATATATATATATATATATATATATAAAATTGATTTCAGAGAGGAAGGGAGAGGGAGAGAGAATAGAAACATAAGTGAATCATTGACTGGCAGCCTGCAACCCAGATCGGAATTGAATCAGGGACCCGTCAATCCACAGGCGGACACTCCACCCACTGAGCCAAACCGACTAGGGCAAAATCTCCACTCTCTTAACACAACCCCCAGGGTGCTGCCACCCACGGCCCATGGGCTGGCTCAGCTCATGGTCGTGTGTCTCCCTGATACCTGTCTGTGGTTGTCTTTTGTGAGGCAGGAGGGACAGTCTCCTGTGGTTACTTCCCCTGATCTTTAAACCAATCTTTCCGGTTGTATTTTTCTGGGGAGCTTTCCTCAGATTCTTAGAGGAAGCACAGACCCCAAAAAAGTTAAAGAACTGGTAAGTCCCAACTTGGATTCCTCCAGGCTCCTAGTTTCCTTGCCACCTACACGAGGGATATCAAAAGGATATTCAAAGAATAACAGGCTCAAACTGATGAGGAGGTTGGCAAGTGAAGGGGACCCGAAGGACCAAATATCTGCCACTTTGAAGACTGAGGAGACACTGGGCACGTCTCTCTAGGGCCAGGATGCCAGCATAGACTTTTAAGAAAGCTCAGCATCAAGCAGGGCAGCTGGGTCCTGGTTCAGAGGACAAAACACTGCCACCTGTCAATCAGGGAAGGGCCTGAGGAGAGATGGATATAGAAAGAGGGAAAATTGTGGGTGGGCCTCCAGCAAGAGACCTACCAGACGGTAGAGGATGGGGATTGACTGGAGGAAGACCAAAATACTTTTAATCCCAAAACAGAAAAATCTCACACTGTTCCCGGGGCCCAAAGGTCAATAATATCGAAGGAACCTGGAGGTCCAGGCCCAGAGACCTCACAGAGAACACCTACCTGCTTACTTCACATGGGCTCGGTGGAGACAGAACTCCACTTTTTGTTGACAAAAAGCCTTTTCTGTATCTGAGTGCAGAAAAGCAGCTTGTGGGTTCTCGGATGTAGACCATCAGGGTGCCATGTACTCCGCAGAAAGGCCTCTTTCCCCTGACTACACAACCCCAGCCCTAACCAAACAGGAAGCCTTTTCAGCCAGCAAGGGGTCTGAGAACCATCCATCCATTTCGTGTAAGTGACGGCTGGCATCGACCCCTGTCTGAGCTGCTTGCCAGCAAAACAGTGGCCCCTTCATTACACAGACGCAGACCCTCAAGTCAAATGGGTGGAGATGGCCCTGCCCACAGAGGGTCTTTTGAGCCTTTTGTCCACAGTAACGCTGGGGACTGTGGGTCTTTCGGGTGAATGGGTGTGTCCCTGGTACCGAAGCCAAACGTCTACAGGATAGCCTTTCAGTTTTGGGTACCTGAAGTTGCTTATTTTCCTTTGCTCTGTACAGAGCCAGAAAGGCTGTCATTAGTAAACACGGACAAGGTCTAAAGTAAAGAACAAACAAACAAAAACAACTCTTGTCTGTAGCTCATAGCCTGGTTCTCAAAGTGAAGTCTCTGGACCAATAGCATCAGCATCCCCTGTTGGAAATTCAGATTCTCAGGCCCTGCCCTAAACCTACAGAATCAGGTACACTGCGGGATAGGCCAGCAATCTGTGTTAATAGCCCTCCAGATGAGTCTGATGCTCGATAAAGCTTATGAACACCTGGCGTATAGCATGAACTGCAAACCAGATTAGATCGCAAGGAAGAGCAGATTGATTCAGTACAGATTAAACAAAGCATGGTAGCAGTCTTCAGGACCAACTGCCAAATTCTGGTGCCTTGTGAGAACTAGAACAGGCGCCCCCTTTAGGCAGATTCAGGCAGGTGCTATCATCTTGGGGCTAAATTTTAGTCCCATCCACCCCCTGGGCTGAGTGTTCCTAGTGCACACAAACTGTACACCATTATGTAGTGGCTATCCTGAATGTCTTTCTCCCTAGACTCACTATCTCCAGTGCCTAATTACGATTAAAAAAAGAAAAAAGAAAAGAAAAGAAAGAAAAAAGGACATTGTAACTGATAATGATCTTTTCTTGCTCAAGGATTTTAATTTTGTATCTTTTCCGAGTCTCAGCATTTTGCTGTCGCATAACTAATTTCCTAAACAGATGTCATTCTGCTCATGTGCATAGTAAAGTGTAACCATTTCCACTATTGAAGGAGTTGAGTTTGCCTTTCAAAGGCTTGATTGGTCTTTATCCATGAGCCTTGGGTGTCTCCCGTGTGACTAGAACACTAATGAGAGAAGTAGCAACAAGGCATTTCAGAAAACGGGGTGGATAAAAATAGGCAGCCCAGCTTCCGAAGAGCATGGCTTCGCTTCACAGACTGACAGTATTTTGAGAAAGGAACACAGGATTGCCAGCGGGAGGCTGTGATTGAGGGGAACCTCACGAACAGCTTGTAAATCCTCACTGTTCCAAAATATAGATAGGGGTGGAGGGGGAGTTCTGACTGGTACAGATGAAACCACCTCATGACAATGAGTCCCTAGAGCGGGCCTAACACTGAGTGAAGCAAGCTCAAAGCGGAGAAAGGCATGTTTAGAGGTTAGCGTGAGCTGGTTGAGTTCACCAGGCCAGCATTTTCCAATGGCCTCACATGACCTTGAGTGTCCCGGCTCTTAGGCAGTATTTTATGTGCGCGCTTATGTTCACCTCTCTGGGGAGAACCCATAACTTTCCATCAGCTTTTCAAAGGGATCCGTGACCCCGCCCTTCACTTCCTCAAATGAAGAGCTACTATATAGGAAAAAATGGCAGCTGTAGATTACAACCCAAGATCTTAGTGGTCTGAATTAGTATACATGGAAAGGGTATGCACCAAGCTTTAAGGATTGGCTACTTTCACTGCATAAAAGGTGTAGCCACCCTAAGCTATTTGTAATAAACATGGTTGACCTTATAATGATTTTTAAAGGTATAAATAAGGCACTTCCCAAAGGAGAGCCTTCACTGTGGCGGAGCCAAAGGGGTATCACATCTAATTCAGGATTGCTGGAGCCTCCCCCACTCCCCGCTCCACACCCAACCCAGCCACTTGTTCAAGATTTCCATTTTGACTTCAAGCAAGAAAAAATGAATACTATTTTGGCTAAGGAACCTGGAAATGGAGAGAAAATGTTTATAGAAGAAAATATAATGTAATGTGCCATTGGACAGGTTATTGAATTAGAGTTAGTAGAGGCTTTTTAAAATTTTTTAGTTGCTGTGCCCTAACTGGTTTGGCTCAGTGGATAGAGCATCAGCCTGGGGACTGAAGGGTCCCAGGTTCAATTCTGGTCAAAGGCACATGCCCAGGTTGTGGGCTCAGTACAGCCGATCAATGATTCTCTCTCATTGTTGATGTTTCTATATCTCTTTCTCTCTCTCTCTTCCTTTCTGAAATCAATCTATATATTTTTTTTCTTTTTTTTTTAATTTAGTTGCTGCAACTGTGCAGTGCAAGATAGGAAAATTCAGATTTGCTGACGTTTTTGTTCCTTGATGTTTCTCTGTCTGTTCAACTGACTTCTAAAGGCTTTCCAGATATATGATCTTGCCTCTACTTCCTGTAAAATAGCCTACCTTCATTTGTTTGTTTGTTTTATTTCAGAAAGGGAGGGAGAGAGAAACATCAATGATGAGAGCAAATCATTGATCACCTGCTTCCTGCACGCCCCTCCTGGGGATCCAGCCAGCAACCCGAGCATGTGCCCTTGATCTTCAGTTCACAGGCCGATGCTCTGTCCACTGAGCCGAACCAGCCTGCCTTCTCTAAAATTAAAAAGATTGAAAGAAAATTGCCACCATAAACACAGTTGAAAGACTAGGAGAATATAACTTGCAATATATGTAAGTTAAATTACATATATAACTTACAGGATTAATTAATATACTAGTATAAAGTGCTCCTATAAGTCAAAAATCCAATAACTCAGTAGAAAAAAGGTAAAGTGCATGAGCAGATAAACAATAGAAAGAGAAAAGCAAATGGCTAATAACCTCACTACTGATTTAAAGCAATGTAATGAAAACAACAGGAAGAGACAACGTTTGCCCCTCTGATAGAAATTTAAAAGAATGACATTTAGTTTTGGATAGATGGGAGAACACTTAACAGTTTTTATGAAAATGATAAGTACAAATAGCCTGTGATCCAGCAATTCCACTTCTAGAAATTTGTTCTTAAGGAATACTACACATGTGCTCATCAATATAGGTAGAAAGCTATTCGGTGTCATGTTGTTTATAAAAGCTAGAAATTAGACTCAGTGTGAATGTCCATTAACAGGAATATGGTCAAGTAAATTATGATACACCCATACTATGAATATTATGTGTAACAGTTTAAAAAAAAATAAGGCAGTTTTTATGTACTGTAAGAAAGAAATATGTACATTTTTCCATTATTGGAAAAAGCAAGCCAGAGCAATATGAATAGTATAGTATAGTATAGTTTAGTATAGTATAGTATAGTTTAAGATGGTATCATTCTATAAGTATAAAAATAAATGAGAGTGTGTGGGTGTGTGTAGTAACATACATGTAAATTCAATTTATTTTTTTTTTAAATCTGGCAATCTGTGCCTCAAACTCTTAACAGTGGGTATTTCCAGAAGGAATAGTCTTTGTGGGGGAGGTTAAAAGGAATTAAACTCTTTTCTCTACATAATCCAATGCTACCGGAATTATTTCTATGAAACATAATTCATGCATTACTTGAGTGATTCATTAAATAATAATTAGAACCCATTTTTTGTTTTAAGTAGAAAATGGGTGAAATGGACCTAGATTTATAAAGTTAAAGTAGATTTTGCTCTTTAAAGAGAGCCTTCAGTTCATGGTTTAGGAAATCAAAGAAGATTCGCCAATTAACAAATCCCCTGGGTCCCGCACTTCTCTCTGGGAGCTGGGCTGATGGCAGAGGAGGAGGTTTTACCCAGGCTCCAAGGGTGGGCTAGGAGACGGGCACCTGCTCTGCCCTCCCCTGAAGGGGGGTGAGAAAGAGAAGGAAAGAAATGGCCTCGCAAGAGGACAGAGAAACGAAATCTTGCTCCACTGAAATACAATGAGGCGCATTTATACCCCAGAACCATTGCCCAAGGGCCACTTCTGTCCATCAACCTCCGACAGCCAACGGTCAAAGATAGCGGACGTGCCTTTCTTAGAAGAAATACTGTGCTACTCCCAATATTCTTTTATTTATTTATTTATTTATTTAATTGTTTGTTTGTTTGTTTGTTTATTTTTAATATATTTTATTGATTTTTTATAGAGAGGAAGGGGGGAGAGAGAAAGTTAGAAACATCCATCAGCTGCCTCTTGCACAACCCCCACTGGGGGTGTGCCTGCAACCAAGGTACATGCCCTTGACTGGAATCGAACCTGGGACCCTTCAGTCCACAGGCTGACACGCTATCCACTGAGCCAAATCAGTTTCGGCTTGGACTATTATTTAAGAAACCTTATTTAAAAGAAGTAAATTATGACTTTTTAAACTTATAAATTAAGGGGTGATTATTTTTCAGTTTACTTGCAAAATAATGGACATAGGCTTCTTTTAATTAAGAGTTGCCCTGACACACATAAGCGTTTGCTTGCTTGCTGGAAACAAAGAGATCCGAACCTAAATGGTTAGACGTCACTGATCATTAAAAATCGATCAGTAATGAAGATGAAGCGGCTCTGAAAGGATAATCTGCCCTTGGCCACCTATAATTGAATTTACTAGGAAATTGATTCACGTATAGATTGCAAGGTAATATACTTTGCAGAAGCAATACGTAATACATTTTACCAGATAACCTGAACAGGAACTTAACATTTTTCACTTGAGTAGGCTTTCCATAAATTACTAAGATTATGGAAAATGTTTACTCCGTTTCCATAAGCATGTATGGTACATGGGAGTAGTTCAGGGTTCAGCCAAACATATTTCGATTTCTGCAGCAGCAGGGACCAAATTATCATCATCTTTTAGAGAATCACTTCATTAGAAATGTTCACACTGTGTTTTGTTTTGTTTTTTATTTTTAATTGGGTTTGAGAGAGAGAGAGAGAGAAACAGCCATGTGATAGTGAAACATCCATTGACTGCCCCTTGCACATCCCTGCCTTGGGATGGAGCCAACAACCTGGACATGTGACCTGATCGAGAATTGAACCAGGAACCTGTGCACAGTACAAGGCTCAGCTAACTGAGCCACACCATCTGGGGCTAGAAATGTTCACCCTTATTGGGAGAAATGTTGATTGGGAGATATGTTGTTGTTTTTCTTTTAGAAAAAACTTTCTGAAATTTTGTTTCTTTTTTTTTTTAATATATTTTATTGATTTTTTTTTTTATAGAAAGGAAGGGAGAGATATAGAGAGCCAGAAACGTCGATGAGAGAGAAACATCGACTAGCTGCCTCTTGCACACCCCCTACTGGGGATGTGCCCGCAACTCAGGTACATGTCCTTGACCGGAATGGAACCTGGGACCTTTCAGTCCGCAGATCTACACTCTACCACTGAGCCAAACCGGCTTCGGCTGAAATTTTGTTTCTTAACTCTTAATCTTAAAAATGGGGGAGGAGGATGTCATGTTTCTAGAATGGGTACCATTCTAGAAAAGTGTCTCTCCTTACCAATTCCAGATTAGTGGTATCCCTCTTCTAATGGCCACAAATAATAGATTTTTTTAATGTTGTGGGTTTTTTCTTTCTTACACAAATACCTCATACACAAATACCTCATTTTTCTTTCTTACACAAATACCTCATAGAAAATGTGGAGAATATAAATAAGCAAAAAGAAGAAAATGATCATTAGCTATCATCCTAACACCTTGAAACAATCACGGTTTACATTTTGAAATGCATACTTTGTCTTTTTAAAATGTATATAATGCTTTTCTGGCAAAAAAAAAAAAAAAGATTTCACATAATATGTATAAGTTTTTACCTTCTATTTTTTATTATTTAACAATATACCCAGGACATTTCTCTGTGCTGTTAAATATCCTTCTACATTATTTGTGTTTGCATAGCATTATCGGCCCCCTGGGTTGTTTTCAATTTTTCACTATTATGAACAAAGGCAGTAATGAGAGTATCTTTGTTATTAAATTCTTCATCACATCCATTAAATTGATATACCTTTGAAAGCACATAGTCACACGGGTTAAGCCCCACTCTTAACATTGAGCTAATTAAAGATAAAGAATGCTTTCTGTTGGAATTCACTACAACAGAGAAACTAAAAGCCTTAGTGAATGGGGAGAGAAGAAATATCTTTACGTTTTAAACTTTGAGCTTAGAATGACCTCAGTATTCGTTCTAGGCATATTGGTGTTTAAGAAATTTTGTTAACCAGCCATTGAAATGAAAGTGATTGTATTGACAGGATGTGTTATTATTGTTAACTAAGGTGCATTTGTTCTAATCACAAAGCAGCATCCCTTTATTGCTTCCAGTTACCTCGATTTTCTAAAACAAAAGCATGCTCTCCGCTTGGACAGACTCTGCTTAGCTTGAGACTTACATTGCTATGGACGGCGTTCTTGACTGACGTGTTCTGGGTGTGGGGAGACCATCCCACTAAATAACATGGCCGCCCTCTACCCTGGCCCCAGACAATACTGAATTAAATCAGAAACTTCTGCCTTTTGGAAATAAAGAGTATCTTACATGACACACCTGGATTGATATAAAAAAGACAGCAAGCCCCATGCTGCAGAAAATGCCTTAAGGAACCATCCCAGCTGTGAATGCCAGCTCTAGGCCTCGAAGTTAATTAGTGATGAGGGTGGGTGGTCGATTAACAATCGCTCAGCGTACCTTTATTATAAAGTGGCATGAAGCTAAACTCTGCCGTGAGAGCAACAGGAGAAGGCCCGTCTGGGACAGCTGTTGATAAATTGTAGTAAAACAGCCAAACATGCAAGGTGAGGGTGGGGGGTACAACAACAGAAGTATTTAAAGTAGGACTGATTATTATGTTTTTGGACTTCACACACTGATACTGGACAGGTTCCGTGTTTAAGTTTCTCATCAGTTGGGTTAGGACAGTGTTTCTCAACCTCAGCACCATTGACAGTTGGACCAGGTAGTTAAATTCTTTGTTGGAGGAAGGGTGGCATCCCAGTTGTGACAATCAAGAATGCCACAAAACTGTCCCCGCTGAGAACCGCTAGATTACCAGATCATTATCTTGAATACTGAAACCAGTGTGGGTGTAAGTAGTGCCGGCCACCTTCAAGCTGTCAGGCTAGTCTTGGAGATGGGTGTAGACCTGCACTCTGACACCACGCATTCTGTGCAGAAGCTCACTGTATGTGAGCACCGCACCCCATCTCACTCACACCCATGGACGTCGTCCCATGCCTTCTACGTCATGTCTCCTACAATAGCAATGAAAGTGCCCTTTCTCTTGTCAAATGCACTGACATACAGAACCTATTTGGAGAGGTATATGGAAGGTAAGTTTTAAGGCAAACACGGCTGAGCACATCTCTGAAGGGATCTTCTAACTCTGCTTTAGGAGATCTCAGGCTATGGCACTGCCCACGCGCTCCTACTCCACCCACTTAGCTCACTGTTCAGGAGTCACCCCCTAAAAAAATGGCCACCCTTCCCTTTCTAAGACTATTTTGAGTTCCCTTCCTTGTACTCACTGCCCCTCTGGCTGGTTTGGCTAACTTTATGATTTGCCTTCCATAAAGTTAGCGAATCCCCTGCTTCTTAAAACCTCTCTTTGGCTTCTGCTAAGCTACCATCTTTCCCTAAAGTCTCCCCGTTGAAAGTTTGCATTTAATAACGGAAGTTGCCCACGTCTTGACCTTCTTTCAGATATGACAATGGACGATGTTCGAGAATACGAGAAAAACATGCATGAACAAACCAACATAAAAGTTTGCAATCAGCATTCCTCCACTGTGGATGACATAGAGAGCCAGGCCCAAACAAGTGTATGTAGAATTTTAAAACATGTTGCCCCCTCCCTTTACCAGGCGTACACTGATCTGTGAAATGCTGCCAGCGCTCAGTTCTCGGGCTTCCACCGAGAGCGTCGTCGCCCAGGGGCTGCTGGTAAACATGTCGAGTCTTTAAAGCCACTTGACGTGCAGGGTGTTCCAGTCATAAAGCCAAGAACATGGAGAGTGGGAACGTGCTGTGGGGCTAGTGCAGGCCTGGCCTGAAGCAGAAGGGAACAGGGGGAAAAGTGGGGGTCATATGAAAAGCAGAACTTTTAAAAACAGGTAGCAGTTACTTGTTCAGGGGAAGGCTTCTGACCCATCTGGCCTTTTAGGTTTCCTTACATTTGCTCTGAAATGCTTCCTATGGCCTTTTATAGCTGTCTTGCCCAGTCAGTTCATCTTTCCTAGGTTAATGCCAGGTGGGTCTGGGGTCCCTTCCTGCATCTGTGATGGTGTGGTGAGTGGGGACTCTGCCAGATCTAGCCTGGGGGGTCAGCTAAGCCCCAGGGAGCCTCAAGTTATTCCCAGGCTCGTGGGAAATTGAGAGTTGACTATAGGGTGTCTGCCAGCATTTTACATGTAGTTGGATTCATGCTAATGAAGAGGAGCTACCGATGACAAAAATGGAATCTCTGAGTCACTTGTATGTGCCTTTGGCCAGAACGGGAATCTCTGGGTGGCAGCTTAAGCTTGCATCATCCAGAGTAACACATTAATTAGATTTTTAAGAAACTGATGTAGGACAGTGTTTCCCAAACTTTTGACATATGTGTATCCCTTCTATAATTTTCTTAACGCTGAGTACTCCTTGTACTCATGAGAACGTAGAATTAGGCGCAGCTAAGCACGGTGCAGTGCATATCCCCACCAAACTCTGGTGCAACTCGGACCCCCACCAAACTCTTCCCGTGGTACACGTACCACACTTTGGGCAACACTATTGTAGGAGATTGAGAAATGGCTATTGTAAACGGAGTCTTTGGAATTGTGAAGACCTTGGTTGCACTTTGGTTAGTTGAGTTTTTAGAGCATGTCTTTGGAATGTCCTGCCAGGCCACTGTTGGATGCACGTGACTGCCCTTGAGGTTGAAATGACCCAAAGGCTTCCCCCCCATTTTGCGTGCTGGGATTGGATTTTCGGGAAACCCTTCTCGCATAGTTAGCCCAGGTGGTCCTCTCTCTGCCCTGATCAGTTCTGATAGGACCTCTGTCTTCCTCTCTCCCTGTTCTAAAGTTAGAAATGCGCCTTCAGGAAACTGTCCTTGAATTTTCATCACTTTCAATTACCTTTTCTTTTAGGAATGTTAGACACCAGTTCCCCCTCAGGCCGCTCTCTGAAAGCTGCTCCCTGTCAGGAGGACCAGACAAAGGAAGCCAGAGGACTGGGAGAGACGCTTCACGTCCCAAAGACAAAGCGCAATGCTTGTCTCCTGAGTTCTTACCGCTTTCAGCTTAGGCTCTTTCTTGGTTTTCTTTTCGTTTTACTGCGAGTACTGTGTTAGGTCAGTTTACCGTGTAGAGACGGTGGTGCCTAGAACGGTTCTCTCCAGGCGAAAGCCCATGCGTTGATTCTCTTGCAGCAACTCACAGGCGTTCCCATGACGTCAGCAAGAGATATGTCTACCAGTATCTCTTCCAAAGTTACAGAGTGGTTATTTTGAGTGCTGGCGACATTTCCCGTATTCTGTGGCATTCCTTCAAATTGGAGATTATTTTTCCATTGTCTCTCTTCTCCACCATAATGAAAGACAGTTGACATTAAGAGGCTGCTGTCCACCACAAATAAAAGCTACCAGAGTGCCCAATAAAACTTAAATCATCAACCCAAGTGGAAACAAATTAGATTGAAATTATGCAAAATTAACATCCATGACCAGGACAATAAGGAAATTGTCTCCTTTTCAATTGAGCAGTTTCAGTGCCTTCAAGGAAGGGAACTTCTAAGAGACTCCGGAAGGGACTGTAAAATAAAAAGTCTGTCTCCTCTGGGTGATTTCTGCTCTCTGCTGGATGCATGGAGTAGGACACCGTGTTCTGCTGCTTTTTCAGAAAGCCTGATTTCTCCAAGATGATATCCATCATTAGAGCAGAAATAGACCCCGATTCAGTGACATTTTCCTGAGATCCTCAATTTTATTTTGCAGGACCTCTTTTTAAAAAGACATAATCTCTTTTCTTAGCTTAATAGTGTTAGTGCTGTTTTTTTAAAGTGGTGGGTTCATGGGTATGATTTTTTTGTACTTTTCTGAGTTTTATATTATATCAACACAACCATAATTTTTTATTTCCTTTGTAAACAAAGCATTCCCTTTCAGAAAATTTAGTAATTGTTTCCAGGAAATCTGCTTAAGGATTTTGTTTTTTGAAAAATATTTCTGATTTGCTCATATGTTATGATGTGACACATATATCAGCATGGGGCAAACATAGGTTTATAGTTGTTCATACAGAAAAAAATACAAACATGAATAAATAATAATACAAGAATAAACAATGTTTCATACACTCACAACTGTAAACCTACCTTTGCCACACACTGTATGGCATCATTTGGGGGCCATTGATTGATTTAGTTACCTTCTCTTTATAGAAAATATGGCCAGGTCTGATAAGAGTCATACCCACAACACCCATATTCACTGCTCCTGTCTGAATTTGTACTCCTGATGTATTGATTTCAGAGAGGAAGGGAGAGGGAGAGAGAATAGAAAAATCCATGATGAGAGAGAATCATTGATCATCTGCCTCCTGCATGCCCCCTTCTGGGGATGGAACCCACAACCCAGATATGTGCCCTGATCAGGAATCAAACCATGACTTCCTATTTCATAGGTGGACGCTCAACCACTGAGCCACATCAACAGGGCACTCCTGATGTTTTCTGATTCAGAATACATAAAACACTCACTGAAGAGTGCTTGGGAAGCCTTGGAGATGGGTATTCATAAAGGAATATTATTTCGGAGGTTTGCCTCCATAAAAAGGAAAAACCCAGGATCTAACATGTTAGTGATAATTTGGGTTTATAATTTGAAGAGGCCCCTTTTTCATAGGGTCCGATAGGTCCTTTAAAAACGGGCGTAGAGATGAATCCATTTGCACGTCTTCTAAATAACTGCTCCTTTTTCTTTCTATCTTTTTCTTTTCTCTGAAGACATGACAATGGATGAAGTCCGAGAATTTGAACGAGCCACTCAGGAAGCCACCAACCAGAAAATTGGCGTTTTCCCACCCGTGATCTCTATCTCGAGCATTCCCCTGCTGCCTTCTTCAGTCCGCAGTGCCCCCTCCAGCGCGCCGTCCACACCTCTGTCCTCAGACGCACCCGAGTTTCTGTCCGTGCCCAAAGAGCGGCCCCGGAAAAAGTCCGCCCCAGAAACTCTCACGCTTCCAGACCCCGAGAAACAAACCACCCTGAATTTGCCTGCCGTGCCCTCTTCAGAGAGGCCATGCCGGCCCAAGTCAGAATAACTTCCTGTGACTATCTCATGGGGTTTTATAGGTTCATTTTCAGGGTTGGCTTTTTTTTTGTTCTGTTTTATTTTTTAAGAATCTTCTAATATAGAAAAAGACTGCTTTGTCACTCAAAACATGTTCCTTCTATCTGAGTGTGCATGTGGTTAAGTAATTTCACATATAATATGAGTCCCTCAATATGCCACACAGCCTCACATTAGATGCAACATGTAAGACATGCAAAGGACAGAAGGCATCTTCTGTAGCCCACAGCTGGAAGCCTGGGAGGAAGCCTTGTTATCGGGCATTTGACGCGGTTGGTATGGACTTCAAGGGTAAATAAATGGGAACTCTGCACCACTGTGGTACAAGGTGGGATAAAATAGTGAAGTCATTTTCCTCCGATCAAACCTGAAATTCTCAAAAATACTCTCAGGCGTAACATACCTAATGGTTAAATTTTGAACTGCTCATCACCAATACTTGAATACTAGTAGTTACTAAAATTCCTATTTTGGTTAGTCTGACTCAGGATTTGGGGCCTAGTTAACACTTTAAAATTTTCTGAAAATTTTAATTATCAACCCACAGAGGCTCCATGTGCAATTAATGATGACTTATTTATACCTTTCACAGAATTTAATAAAGATTCCACTTGTTTCTGTCTTTTAATAACTCTTCCTCTATGTGCCCTCAGAAATCTTAAGAATCACGTGGGTGAATGTGACCTTAACTTGACAGATTTTGGAAGGGTTGAGTTAGGAGCCAAGAGGCCCAGGTGAGGGAGACATCTTTTTTTCTCAAGGTACCAACAAACCTTAACTTGTCAGCTTCTATCATCCAGGAAGATTCTCAGAATTTGCAATTAATTGAGTAGAATTTATTGACTACTTCCCCACTTAAAAAGTTCAAGGGTAGAATAAGCTAACTGGACTTTAATTCTGTTGGGATATCTGGTTTGGGAAACCCTAAAAAGGAGAATTGTTTTTCATCTCCCTTCTGGTTTTACTTTTGATAACATCCAGACTTCCTGGACCCGATGGCCCATCACAGGACCTTAGAAAAGACTGTCATTCTCTTGCTCCTTCCTTGAAATCCAAATATTGGGATGTCCCAGAAGTTGAGTAAGTACCGTCAAGTGGGAGGAGAGAATGAGCAGAATTGTTGACTCCTATTTGTCAAGCAAAAAGGAGGAGAGATACATGTCCTACCGTCTAGCTTTCTTTTCTGAAAGTGTTGCTAATGCAAGAGTAGATTCAAGGTTGACGGGAGGCAAGCTCATTCACCAAAGTGGCAGAAAGAGAACTCTCCTTGGATCTTAAGAGGGAAAACCTGCCACCTTCGCACCTCACTGCCTTTAAATGCAGAAGGAAGGGCAAGCAGCATCTATAGTCACTTTTGTCCTCCATGAGAGGAAGAGAGCAAAGTAATTGGGCAACTCCACGCCCCCTGGCGAGCCTTCCTCACCGTAACCTCCAACCTCAGGAAAGGGACCTTCCCACACAGATTCCAAAGGAAACACACAGACCAAGGAGCATCGCCTCCTCCTCTCTCCTGGCCTCAGCCAGTAGCCCCTGCCTGCTCTCTCTCTCTAAGTGCTCAGCACTCTGCATTGTGTCTTTCAAGTTGGCAAACGCCCAGGTGCAGGCGCTGGCCCCTGAGCCTGGCACCAAGTAAGCATAAGTCATACGTCAGACTGTCAAGATCATATCTTTATCTACAGGTTGATATTTAGCTTGAAAAAAAATATTTTAAATCCAGAACTCAAAATGGAAACCAGTTACAAATAGCTTAGGTCAACATGCATCTCTTCCCTAAGAGCGACATAGCATTGTAGTAAGACATCTTTGCATGGTATGGGAGCATGATTTCTTGCTTGTGGGAAAACTTAATCTTTTACCGAATCCCTTGGACTTCTCGACGGCTCCCTCTCCACACAGTAGTAGTACTTAAGGATTATGTTTGGCTTCAGAAAGCAAAAATCTATTTTCACAAGGCAGCGACCATGTGTGTGTGTGCTTACCATTTATTTACGAGCTGAAATCAGCTTTGTAACAAGAGGGGATGGGGTCATTTTCTAATGGAACCGATCTATTTTGCGCAGGTTGTTAACACATCTGACGCCTAGTTTTCTCATTCATACCATTGCTGTCTGTAAAGTAGCTTCCGCTAGCAAGGTCAACAATCCTATCCACTTTAGAAAGCTAATTTCTCATTTCCTTCTGTGAGTTTTCTTTCTCATAGCCAGTACAATACCATGGACATCAACTACAATCTGCTAACGATAGTGTGAGTTTTAGCCATCAAAAGTGTGTGCACTTAAAATACATTCAGTTTCCCGTCGACATGTGGCTTGTGTGCATTTAAGAAAAAGGGAGGGGGGGTGAGTATATTCCTTCAGCTGCTTTGAATATCTAATCCCATCATCATGAGCATACGTGACTTCACCATTTTATCTGCCTTGATTTCCGGGTGTCATTTTACATTCTCCATACATGCCTTTGTTGTGGGATACAAGCCTGCAATGAATGTGTACATAGAACCTTAAGATTCCTATAAGGATGGAAATGCAATGGCTGCATGATGGAAACTTAGAAGAAGGAAAAAAGCAGAAACTTGAATTCTTTCAGCATGTTTGGGGGTGGGAGAATAGAATCTTTAACTCAGTGCCTCTGTCTGCGGTGTGGAAACCTTCAACCTTGTTCACCAAAATTGTATTATACCTGTATGTACATATATAGAAATATAGTCTAGTGAAGCAAACACCACCAGTTTGAAGTCTCTGGTAGCCAGATTAATCCACAGGAATAGCACATGCGCAGCACACCGTCTTCATCTCCGATGTTGGTGGAAACCATGATAATGGCTGTACATTTCATTACTTTGGGTGCATTTCAAATACCAGACGCTCCTGTGCTTTTCACGCATGGGCTGTGTGTGGTACAGCACTTGTAGCTTTGACCGCTTTCCCAGGATCAGAGGGTCTTGGTGTTTTTTCCGCGTGAACTTTGTTAGAAGTTAGCTCTGAAGACCATTTCATGTATCTACTTTTGGGCTATAACAAAACAAAGCAAGAAGGCCATGACATTTTTCACTCACCATCGTTATAACGGGCACAATATGCATTCACTAGTGAACTAATTTATAAATCCTTCTGTTACGGTTTTGCATCTGTGTGGGAGGAATGGTTTTAATGTGTTTGGAGGTTTGCATTAGCCATGTTTTGGGCTGTGAGAATAAATCTCTAAGCGCAGTCGTGGTTGTACAATGCAGGCACAAAAACCCAAGACCCCACAAGTAATTAGTGTTTTCTTTCAAGGCACTGTAATACTGGCCTAGAGAATAGATCCTAACACTTCTGCAGAAATCATTTTCCTGTGAAAATTTCAAGGCTAATGGATTTATGTACATTTTTAAATTCTATTTTCCTCGGTAGCTTCAGGGCTCAGAGACAGCAAGGTCACTGTCTGGTTTCGGTCAATAAGAATTTTACTTTTCAGAAGGGCCAGAGTATCATCCAGATATAATGTGTAATCAGATAATCCAATAGACAGGAATTGGTCTAAATAGTTTTCGTCCCTTTCTGATCATCTGGCTCAGTAGGCCAGGTGGCAATCTGCCATCTGAGCCCTAATTCTTGAAATTTAAAATAAATAAAAAATGTTGTGTGGCTGTAACTGGTCAAACAACTCGTTCTTGCTGAAACTGAAATGTCACGCAATTGCACAGCCTTGGCACGTGGAGGCATCACCGGGTTCTTGTGTGCTCTACCTTCCAAACGATCTGTTTGCATTTGAAATGTAAATGTTTAAGCTTTTTAGGAGTTAGTGCAATAAGAGGGTGTGAATATGGGGAGAACTTTTCAGATGTGATCCATGGTAATTTTGTTGTTAAGTTAAATGCTTTAGGACATTGTGGCCTACAAGGGAAAGCATGTCTATGGAATTGCAAGTCCCCCTTCAGTTCCTATGTATCCCCAAGAAGAGGTTCTTTGAGTTGATGTGATGCCTACGCCACTTCTGTGTCACTTCAAGTGTCATTTTTTTTAGTGTTTACATTTCAAGCTGGGATCTTGATTTGTGAAATGGGTCGACATACCACTGCCACTGCTGAAGGACCAAAGTTTGAAGTGCACAGTGTTACAGTCTACAGGCAAAGCAAGCAAAAGGTGACCCTCACATATGCCATCCTTCTGTGTCATTTTATGGCCGTTTTGTGTTTTCCCCCCAGTTATTTATTATTGTTAATAACTTACTTTTTCTTACCTTCTGTTGTAAATAAAGTACAAAGCAATCTTCTTTCCAAGTGTGGCTTCCTTTCTCCACTGGTCTCAAGGGATTGTTGGCAGTTGGGAGTTTGTGGGTTGATGGGAAAGAACTGATCAAGGAAGAAGGAACAAGTCAATGGCCTGTACTTAGACCCAGGTCTGGGGATCTGTGTGCAAAGAAGCCTGATCTGCTAAGCCATATGGTGCCTTCAGGGGAAGCCTGGGTGCCAGCTCTAACTATCTAGCCAAAAAAATCCAAGGAGAGTCTGTAACCCAGTGGGGCGCACACATAGACTCATCCACCCATCTAAGGGCTTGGTTCCCTTATCAAAGGTGAGATGACAGTTTGAGTGGTAACCAAGAAAAACCATTCTGAAGAAATCGGCAGGTACACCACCCAAGTGGAACACCAGATTCTCTCCTCGCGTATACATGTA